TCCATAAGTCATCGCATTTCAAGTCCCAGTCCATCAATCCGGCTCTGTAGATCTCCTCGATGCTTGCTTGTTCCGTCTCGTTAACTATAGCAAAAAACTTAAAGAAAAATGAGAAAAAAACTTGAGGTTTTCCGCTATGGACAAAATATTTCTTCATTTAGAGTTAAGAGTAAAGTTTACACTTATTTTGCTCCTAACAATTTTTGGCATAATTCGCACTTCGCCGTTTTAATCCAAACTTTAATCCAATTAACAAATACTTTTTGCATGCATTTCAATCCACAGATTTGAACTGTTTCTGAAAACGCCTGGCAGTTATCGACAAGAAGCACCAACACTTTCGTATCAAGCTAACCGCCAGGTGACTAAAAAGATTTTTCACTCAATTGAGCTGATACAAAATTCATATAAAAGAACAAAAAGAGTAATTCGATAAAACAATAGAAATTATATGAAGAAACCTTTGCTTCGGAAGGCTATAACTTCCAAATAAAACTCAAATTTGGGACAGCTTTTTCAGCAACAATTTTTGGGCGAATGTCAAGTTCACCCTCGTGACATATGCTTTTGACATATGCTTTTGACAAAAAACATGTCATGTTAATGTTAAAATAATTAGTGTAATTCAAAAAAGATAAGAAGTAGTAGATTGAGGTTTAGCACCCAAATTACCTGCCATACAATGTTTCTATTTCGTATTCAAATTTCCAACATCTTCAACCCCAATGCGGCGAGAGCCGGGGCCAATTTTAAAGGGAATGGCAGTTTAATTGCACACGCAAGGTCTTATCTATGGCGCAACAAAATATTTAGTCAGGTGTTGAACAACCTAAGAGGTAGTGTCCGCTAAGGCCGGTGGGAAAGATAATTAAAACTAGATCACTTGATAGTTTTCTTCAAGCGGTTATTCAAGGAAGATGCACACCTTTTTGCTTCAACGCTGCCAAACTGCAATTGCTAAGGACTGCGCTCTTTTGTTGCTCTTTCAGTGGTCGAAGCTTGCAACAAGTGCTGGCAATAGAAAACTAACTGAGTGCATTTCTAAGAGGAAAGACTTTGAGGTAAAGGCTTTAAAACGTCCTGAATCGGAAGCAACATACAATATGAGTGAACTTAACTCATTACATCTGTTGCTGAAACCGTTTGCAGTGGAGAACGTAGGCTTGCAATCAACAATAGTTTCATTCACCATCAATCGAGATGTGACTCGACCGGATGATTGTGTTAATATTCTTTTCCCTTTTCAACTAACAAAGTGGAAGCGTGCCTTTTCAAATTTGGGTCGCGAAGATGTGGTTCTGTATACGACTCGTCCTTTGTCTGACCTGACCTCACAAACTTATGGCGTACTGCAACAAGCTGAAAAATTTTCATTCCCTACAGCAATTGTCCCTAGACTGAACGACTTTGATGTTCACGGCACGTCGCGCAGGTGAGTATAAAATCCTTTTTTTTCACGAATGCCAAAGTGAAAGTTTCACGAGAAATTGACGAAAACATATCATCCACCAAAAGCTGATTGGTCGCTGCTGGCAAGAAAGCTTTTCGACAGGAAGGGCGGATATCGTGTGATGCTAAATGACTGCCACAGTTTTTCAGAACGCGGAACAACATTCACAATTCCGCGGCATATCGCCGCCTTTTTTGAGACATTGTTTGATTCTAGAGATTTCTGTATCAGGTATTAAAAAAAAGAAGAACTCTATACATCTATTTGTTCTCGTGGTAAGCATATCAACCTCTTCTCAAAACGGACCAAAACGTGTCAACGCGGGTTCGACGCAGATTTTTGGCCTCTTGAGAATGTGTCGATTAACTATTGAAAACGTTTTAATTGTCTTAGTTTTAGAAAAATGCCTCAAATTTTTTTTTGTAAAAAGGGTTGTTTTCCTAACATCTACAGTTTTTGGATCCTATTACCAAATGTAGCTCAAAGTCGCTGTATTACATTAGTCTTGCCAGGGTTTTCAAATTTTTTCAAAAAAATTTGAACAGCCGTTGTTTTTGTAGTCGACAGATTTCATCGACATCTGGTAAGGGTTTCTTTCCGGAAACTGCGGCGCACTGCATGCATTTCCCTTTTTCGATACCAAACGTCCGGTTTACGATAATAATAATTAATATTTTGATTATTGGAAGTAGAATGCTACGTGACTCATCAGCACGATTAATACTAAAAATTTAGCAGCAAAATGTTTTATTAAGGTTGCATTTTTAAATTGAGTAAAATTTTGCTCGCAAATCAATTTGATGGGTAGAAGAAAATCAAGTCTTTTCGTTGACATCCTCGTAACAACCTGATTTTCTAGTGTAAAATTCATTTTTAATAAATTTCTGAAAAACTAAGTAAAATCAAATTTTTAGGTTGGAAATGAGAAAAGCAGTGATGCTAGCGAAACCTCCATAATTTTGTGTGACCAAGAAAAAGACCAACCAACTAAGTAACAAGAAAAAAGTTACGTACTGTATCGATCCAAAACGCACGGTATTTTTCTTGTGT